TCAAGGTTTCCCCCAAAAAATTAAAATAATTGTCTAAAATAACTAATTTTATGTCCAAAAACTTTCCTACCAAGTTCAGTTTTTCTGTATTTCTATAACTGCTGAGGTTCTTCTGAACGACTGCGTCTCTGTGTGAGCTATAGCTTAATGATAAAAACCCTCATTAAATGCTGATATCAACTTATTGATCATATTTGCTGCAGTCTAATAATAATTGTTATTGATTGTTTTGCCAATAGATCGACCTTCTCATTTCCTTCCACTGCTACATGAGCAGGAACCCAAAGGAAACATTCAGTCCCCTATAATGTAACACATATTGTATTAATTCAAGCACTGGTTAGATTCACCACCTTTAATAAGAAAATAACACCTTTATAAAATGAGTGTGCAGACCTCCATAACAACGTGCTGAACGTCCACCGATAGTCTGAGACGATTAATCAGAAAATAATTATGTAATATTTTTTATGTAAAATATCAATAAAGTTTATTTTAAAATGTACGGGAATGCTTCTTCTGCACTATATATTCTCCTTTTATATCAACTTTATTACATTTTCACTCATTACACACAAGTATTTGATATTGAGCAAATAATAATAATGTATATAAATAAATGTTGCTGCAATAATCCAACCATAAATAATTCAGTTTGCATAAAGTATAATGAAGATAAATCTTTTGTTTTATATAATTATCTGTGAGGTAAAATTAGTTTTACTGCCCAGTTGTTTGTTCTGAGATATTATACATAAATAATAAATATACATCTAGTAACTTGCTTAGAATATGTTGAATTGCACATTTCATATAGTTAATATATATATTTAATTTATAGTTTTATATTTTCTATTATATTGTGATACTATTGTATGAACACTGTACTCTTTATATCAACTTTATTAAATTATACACATATATTACACCTTATATAAACATTTTAGTGAACATTTCTAAAGTGTATACAGTCAGAGAGTCTGAGGGAGTTTAATGTCTATAAAGTTATAGAATATAATAATAATGTATTATTATTATTATTATTATAATAATAATAATATGTATATATAATATGATGACTGAACAGATATACATGTATACACATATTTATAGTACATTGATATAATGTTGATATGCGTTATATATTCCGCCTGTGCAAGGTGTGCATACATACTGTAATATATATAACAGTCTTGGTTTGGGATGAGATGGACCGCAGAGTGAAAGCAAAAGGGCCAACAAGTGCTCAGCATCTCTGGGAACTCCTTCAAGACTGTTGGAAAACCATTTCAGGTGACTACCTCATGAAGCTCATCGAGAGAATGCCAAGAGTGCGCAAAGCAGTAATCAAAGCAAAGGGTGGCTATTATAAAGAATCTAAAATATAAAACATGTTTTGAGTTATTTTTGTTTACTACATAATTCCATATGTGTTCATTCATAGTTTTGATGCCTTCAGTGAGAATCTACAATGTAAATAGTCATGAAAATAAAGAAACAACATTAAATGAGAAGGTGTGTCATAACTTCTGACTGGTAGTGTATATTTATATATGTAAATAGAAATGTGAAAAAATATAAGCATATTGTATAAATATGATATATAAAATCAATATGGTTTATATATGTGATTGAAGGGTTAGGGTACGATACCAACGCTGAAGTCCATTAAATTCAAATCATTTCTAGTTAAATTGATCTCCAATAATTGTAATAATTCTTTGTCTGGAGTTTTTTATGGCTTGTTCTCTAATGTCAATGTCAGTGTATAAACTATCTACATCCGTAGTAAATAGCATAGAAATGTTCTGGTATTTGGAGACTTTTAACTTTATGAATAAAATCATATGTATCTTTAATATAGCTGGAGTGTTTGGTTGAGAGAGGATTCAAATAAAAATCGTGTGGTTTGCTTCACTTCTCTCCGAAAGGCATTATCAAATTAATTTAGGTCCAAATTAATTCGGGGAGTGACTTCAGTCCAATCTGACTTGGGGGTAAACGGTGCTGGTTCCGAATTGTCTTTATCTTGGAAATGAGCAGCCAATTTAATTCTTCTGTGTCATTGTTGGATGTCCCATCTGCTTGGTTGCTTGATATTTTTATTGCTCCCCTTTGTGGGCTACTGTTTTTTCTCTTTGGAGCTGTTTAATCGGGGTCTGTTTTGTATTTTGGGTCCTGTTTTTAAGGCCAAAGTGGTTTTACTGAGTATGGCCTCAGCATGTCTGAACGTGGCCCCCGGGGAAACTATCTATTTGGAGGTTCCTCCCCAGTCTGTGTGTAAATGTTGGTATTCAGTGATAAAATCTCCATATATTAACTTATAATATAGACCATTGTAATATTGTACCATGTCCTGTACATTGTATTATTTTCTATTAGGGAACAAATTGAGTATGTTTTAAAGAGTAATTTCATAAAAGCCTGTTATTAAAATGTAAGTGTATAAAGTGTTATTGGGATTTAGTTTAGTTCATCATACTGTTAGGACATAGTCTCGTCCATGTACAGTAAATGTGTGTTTATTCTGTTAAAGTACAGAGCAGCTAGGATAATTTAGATTTTACTGTGAAATAAGATGATTTTAACTGTGGTTTATCAGAATCAGAATAATACTTTAATAATCCCAGGGGGAAATTATTTTTGTTACAACACTCCTTATATACAAACAACATATTATACAAACAACTATATATATATATATATATATATATATATATATATATATATATATATATATATATAAGATCAAATGTACAGTATTAATGTGCAAAAACTGCAAAAGAATGATTGTCTATGTTTGAGTCAGATTACAGCGGGGGGGTGTCTGACTCTCTGAGGGAGGCGTTGTAGAGATTGATGACCACAGGCAGGAATGATTTCCTGTGGCGCTCTGCGTATCTGGGTGAGAGGAGTCTTCTGCTGAAGGTGCTCCTCTGCTGGGCCAGTGTGTCGTAGAGAGGGTGTGAGACATTGTCCAAGATGGACTGAAGCCTGGACAGCATCCTCCTCTCTGCCACGGTCGTCAGGGTGTCCAGCTCCTCCCCCATGACATCAGCGGCCCTCCTGATCAGTTTGTTTAGTCTGTTGTTGTCTGTTTATGCAGTTAATAAAGATGTGATTGAGTCCTTTTGACAACAATACCGAAGTTACAGAGGCAAGTACGTTTACAGACAGAGTGCAGTAGCTACAAGACAGAGGTCTGTATGGTTTATTTGATTAATATAATAGTAACAATAAAGATAATACTGATAACAATGAAATTATTAATATCAACTTAATTTGATATGTTTTGGTGAAGACCAAACATGTTTCTTGCAGACAGTTTCCATTCGTATACATTGTTTTGATGGCACTGCTGAAGTATGAACTAAAACCAAATTTTTCTAGGGCATGGAATATGAATTTATTTTCGATTGTATCGAAAGCCCTGTAAAAATCTAAAAAAAGAATGAAACTTTCATCAAGGCATAAATCTGAATAATCAATTAAATCAAGTACTAATCTGACACTGTTGGAAATATGTCTATTTCTCATGAAGCCGGATTGAGTTTCATCAATTATGTAGTCTAAAACAAGTTTAATTCTTTTAGCAAATATCAATGCAAATAATTTGTAATCATTATTAAGTAAAGAAATTGGGCGCCAGTTGTCAATGAGGAGTATGTCTTTCTTTGGTTTCGGTATTAGAGATATAAGGCCTTGGGTTAAGGTAGGAGGAAGGGATTCATTGCTTAAACATTCTGAGAAAAGACCTAAGAGGAAAGGTGCAAGCTGTTTGGGTTAGGGTTATAAATGCTTTATAAAATTCAGAAGTAATACCATCTGTGCCTGGAGATTTATGAAGCTTGAGGTGTTGTGGTGGTTTGTCACAAGATTCTTTTAAGTCAATATCAATTGACTTTGTTTCTATAAGAGACCCTAAAAATTGACACAAAAGTTCCCAATTACTACAAAAATTGTTTTCTAATAAAGATTTTTGCCGAAAGTGTTCAATTAATGATTGGACAGTTTTAGACACAGTGTCATGTTTTAGAATAGAGCTGTTCAGTTTCCAATATGAACTTCTATGGTGAATATTAGGATTTAGAGAGATTTGTATTGAAATTGCTTTGTGGTCTGTTAAAGGAGTAGTGAGGATATTGACATTGATAATATTACTATCACAACAGTTAGAAATCAAGCAAAAGTCTACGCGTGATGAGCTAGTATATGTTTTATTGCTCCAAGTATATGAACTCACACCAGGGTTGTTTTCTCTCCATATATCGATTAAGTTGAATTTATGCATAAATTGTATTAAATTGGAGGCCATATAATAATTGGAGGCCACCTATCTTGAAGACGATCCAGAGCAATATTAAAGTCCCCCCCCAATTGAATATTTAGAAAGCCAATGTAAGAAGCGGCAGTTACAGTTAAACGTTCCTGAATGTGAAGTGATGACGCTGTAACGGTCAGACTGTAACCCGGATGTTAACATTTTAATATTTATATACCAGCGGTGGAGGAAGTATTCAGATACCACACTGTAAAAGTACTCCATTACAAGTATTTATACTCTAACTAAAGTAAAAGTAAGTTATCTATGAATGAAAAAAAAGATTTTACCCAGAGTTCACAGTAACAAACAACAACAACAGTAATAATGGTAAACACACACACACACACACACACACACACACACACACACACACACACACACACACACACACACACACACACACACACACACACACACACAGTTTACACTGACTGAAAGTATTAATAATCATCAGTCTGTAGATTTTGGTGCTTTAAAGCTTTTTATATAATACTTTCAGATATTATAGATGTAATCTCAATGGGTGGCCAGATCAATCACCAAAGGATCAATACTACTGATATAAAGTCTCATTATAACACAAACTGAACATTTTTAATTTCAATAGTTAAAATAAATCTCATGTATTAGGTCAAACTATTGATCATCTACAGTCAAAGTCAATCACATAAGGGGCCAAACAGGATCAATATTTATTGAACTTTCTTTTATCTCAACAAAATTAAAAAATTAAAAAAATTTCAATAAAACAAAATACAATTTCAATTCAACGATAACATCAAGCACAATAAGAATATTGCTGCACATATAAAGTAGGATGTGTCATTAACTCAACAATAAAGGTTGTCTCAGTTCACAAATATATTGATCAGGTTCTGGGTTGATAAGTATCTGATCACACCGTCCTCATCCACTGATCATGTTCTGAAACAAACACAAAACAAAATGCAAGCACACCCATTAAATTACACACATATTGAACTGTTGTTGTTGGTTGAAATACATTTTATTATATTTGTAATTTAGGCTTTAAAAATACTCACCTATTTGTTTTCCTCTCGTAATGTCTGGTTTTATGTATTGTGCTGTAGCAGTCGGCAAAACAGTGTGGAAGTGATCTTTTGTTCAGATTCATTATTGAAAACATCTGTTCATGAAGATAGGCGGAGACAAAGGCTCTCCAAACGACTCTCAGTTTCTTATTGCAGGAGTCAGCAGCAGTTCCCATCAGAAGACACATTTATGGCCAAAAATGAAAAATTAAACTTTTTTTTTTTAAATGACAGTTAGTAAGTATTTTTAAATATTTGATATTTGATGTAATCTGTTCCAACAATATGTTTGAGTTCAAATAACTTCTGTCATTAAAGATATTTATTATTTATCATATTGTGACGGCCCTCGTGTTGGCCTTATTCTTCTTGGTGTCAGGTAGTAAGGGGGTGGAGCTGAGATTCCTCCCTGATGCAGCTCACCTGAGCAGGCTGGGTTCAGGAGGCTGTAAATCAGACCTGCAAGGCTTTCTCACTCTCTTCCTCTGGCTGCTCACTGAACTGCTGGTTCTTGTTTGTGTTCTGGGTTTTATATTCATACATATACACCTCACCCTTCACTCACACAGACATTGCAGACAGACTGATTTACTGATAGACATGTTAAACTGTATTGATTATTTTGGTATTTACTTGATTAAATTGTGTTAACAATTCACAGACTGTGTGGTCTCCCTCCTTTGAGCCAGGTTGTGACAATATATTATTATTATTATTATTATTATTATTAATAGTAATTATTATTATTATTAAATATATATATTATGTAAGTATTGGAGCAGAGTTTTAATGGGGATACCATGTGCTGCCACTAGATGACACTCATGTGAAACTAATAATTCAATTTTTCAGCTTCAGTTTGGAAAATAAATCAATAATCTGAACAGCTTTTGGAATTTGCTCAACATTTTTAAGAAACAACGTTGTGTCATCTGCCAGCTGACTATTTGCTTCTCAAAAACACTCAATTGCTTAATATCAGATTTATTTTTCCATTTCATAATTCTCTCTTCATTGTTTGAATTTGACAGTCATTAAAACATTGACACAATCCATTGGCCCATCCCTCCAGCACAACAAACACACACATATTCAGCTTCCTCTCAGACTCTCATTAATATCAACAATCCATCACAGCCTCACTTCATACACAAATGTATATATCTATAGCAATAACTGCCCCTCTATTGTTTGTTCACTAAAATGTTTATATAAGGTGTAATATATGTGTATAATTTAATAAAGTTATATAAAGAGTACAGTGTTCATACAATAGTGTCACAATATAAGAGAAAATATAAAACTATAAATGAAATATATATATACACTATATGAAATGTGCAGTTCAATAGTGTGCAACATATTCTAAGCAAGTTACTAGATGTATATATATTATTTATATATAATATCTCAGAGCAAACAACTGGGCACTAAAACTCATTTTACCTCACAGATAATTATATAAAACAAAAGATTTATCTTCATTATACTTTATGCAAACTGGATTATTTATGGTTGGATTATTGCAGCAACATTTATTTATATACATTATTATTATTTGTTCAATATCAAATACTTACTCATCAGAATCCAACTGTACAATATTAATAATAATATGATTTTCTACTTTCAGTCCTAATCATAGATACCAAATATTTATTATTTTTTGTGCTGTAACAAAGAAACTATTGCCCTTGTAACAGTTCCACTTATTATAATAATAATATATATAATCTATGTATAATGGTATATATATATATATATATACTATTATACAGAGCAAGAACAAGATTAACAAATTTGGGTCTGTTTTAGTAATCAATATTATTTCAATATAATAATCATATTAATAATGTTTCATTAATTAAATATTTATTTAGATGGTTTCAATCTGTACGTTTGTGTACTTGGGGATTATTTCAGGCCACGTTGTTTAAGATGGTCTAAAAATACACATCATAAAACAATATGCGTAAAAAGAGAATAAAATGTTAGAAACTAAAAGCCAAAAAAACACAAGTTGATCTTTGTTCCACTGCGAGGACCGTTACATGATACTGACATTATTGTCGTCAAGTTTTATATCACAAGTGTGTAGATTTTGTGCCTTTATGCACTCTAAAGAATGATCATGAAAAATGTCCATTAATTGATATTATACATAACTCGTTCACAGCACATTGAGGACTCTGAGCTCTGTAGATAAAGTGTGTGTCTCTGCTGTCAGTGTCTCTGTACTCGTCCCTCACACATACACTCATTTAATAAAAGATCATTTTACTATTCAGAGACTTTTCCCTTTAAAACATGATGAATATAATCATCCTCTTTATCTCTAACTGCTCTGTTCCACTGTCACACTGACCTTCACTGGTAATATCTTCACTTTATTCCCAGTGTAAATGAATGGAAACATCCTCTCAGTGAAAGTGTGTGTGAAGGTGTGTATGTGTGTGTTAGTATCAGGATCAGAGAACGACAGCTTTCCTCTGTTCCAGTCCAGATTCACTCTGATGCTCTGGAGCTTCTTCTGAACTACGAGATCAGTTTCTGGAGCTAATGGTGACCCTGCATAGTATTTACCTCCGGAGAACAATATTCTCCATAATCCAGACCGTATGTATCCTTTCCTCTGTACAGACTCTGCTAACACACCGAGTATCCAGAATATACTGTCTCCAACCTCGAAATCCCAGCTGTGAGTCCCTGAGTTAAAGCCCTCAGAGCCCAGAACAGACCAGAGAGAATCAATCCTCTCTGGATTATCAGGAAGCTGCTGTTTCTCTCCTCGTCTCACACTGGTCAGATCTTCAGACAGGATGAGTTTTGGATAAACAGTGTTTGGATCCAGAATCACAGGAGTGTAGGAGACCATGTCCTTCATCTTGTTCCAGATGTTGAAGGTCAGGTTGCCCAGGTGTTTGGCCTCGTCTATCAGAGCTCCTGAGGGCAGCTGTGGATCCTCCAGCAGGGGGCGCTGCTGGACTCTTTCCACTGCAGCCTTGTAGTTGTTCAGGAATGAGACGTCTTCAGCTCTCAGCTCCTCCTCTGTGGCTCTGACTGTGTCTGAAAGAGCTGCTATCTCTCTGCTCAGGGCCTCCATCTTCTCCTTCATCATCTGACTCTTCTGCTCCTCTTCCTCACTCAGAGCAGCCAGCCTGGCCTCCTCTTCCTCTTCTAGAAACTGGTGAAGCTTCTTAAACTGCTCCTTAATCAGCTTCTCTGTGCGTCGGGCCTGGACCTTCATGTGTTCTGCTGTTTGATCAAACTTCACTTTAACTCCTTCACAAACCTTTAACTTCTCCTTTAAGGGCTCTAGAGATTTCTGGAGCTCCTCTTTGTGATCCTGTGCAGCTTCATCGATAGGTTTGAATCTGTGGTTGGAGTGTTTTTTTGAATCTCTGCAGACGAGACACACTGGCTGCTGATGGTCCAGACAGAAGAGTTTGAGTTTCTCAGAGTGCAGACTGCAGAGAGCCTCTGAAGATCTCTGATCTCTCTCCTGTAAGAAACTCTCACACAGCTTCTTTAAAGTCAGGTTTAAAGGTGGCTGATCCTTTGAAGATCTTCTTTTACAAACTGGACACTCACGTGTTTGTTTCTCCTTCCACCAGCTCTTCAGACAGTCTTTACAGAAGCTGTGGCTGCATGACAGAACAACAGGATCTCTAAAGACCTCATGACAGACCGGACAGCAGAAATCCTCCTCTAATCTGGAAGCCATTTTGTCTCTGAGTGCAGCTGGAAACAGCAGACAACACGTTAAACAGGTTGGTCAGTTATGGTTCCCGCCCTGCTGTAAAAAGTTGCCTCAGTTACTTTCACTTTGAGTCTTTGAGAGTTTTTACATTCAGCAGCAGGTTGAAGAACTTCAGAGTACTTCAGAATACTTCAGGATACTTAAACTCTTCTTATGAAAAACTGCATAATAGATTACAATCCATTAATCCTGAATTAGCACCTTTTTTTAATTCACAACATAACTCAGAATAAACAAACACAAAAGCAATCCCAATTAACCAGAACAGACCATCAACAACATGAAGAATATAAAATGTGTCAGTTAAAGTCACAGCTTTGTAATGAAGGTAAATCTTACCGTCTGTCTCTCCGTCTGTGTGTCTCTCCTCAGTGAGAACTGAACAGGAACATCCTGTTTCCTGGTTGGTCTCAGATGATGTCTTTAAAGAGCTTTGTCAGCTGACTGCTGCGTCTCATTTTAAAGTGAAATATGATCCATCACACTGCTCTGAGATCACATCACAAAGAAAACAACCAGAGCAAATTCACTTTCACTCATATTTCTGTGACTGCTTTACTTTGGTTTAAAGGTCCAGTGAGTAACATTTAGCAGGATCTATTCCTGAAAACAGAATATAAAACTCATTGGTATGTTTTCATATGTATGTTTTGTGGTTGTTTTTAGTCTCTTTGTGGTATTTTGTGTCTGCAACAAAATGTGTGTCAGATATTCGGTCTTCACCAAAACGTATTAAATAAAGTTAATATTAATAATAGCATTGTTATCAGTCATATAATTATTGTTACTATTATATTAATCAAATAAACCATACAGACCTTTGTCTTGTAGCCACTGCACTTGTTGTCAAATGGACTCAATCAAATCTTTATTAACAACCTCTGGATCATTGACTGGGTGGACAAAACTTTGTACAAACCTTCACACAACATGAGACAGCGACGCCAAAGACTGGGATATTTCTGTTTGTTGGTCGCAGGTGTTTTATGAAATATTTGGCAAAGTAGAGCATTTTTTGCATACAATAATAATTACAGTAAGCCATTTATAGTCACTGCAGACTCATTTAACCAATCTCAACAGGATTTGAGATATGTGATATCTATCATGCGATCAGTGTCTGTGGATTTTTGTCGTCACACTTCAGTGGATGTTCTGAAAAGATAATCGCTCTGTAGGTTGTGGTGATTTATTTATTTTCTTTAAGTCTTGGAATTTAAAATGCTTAATAACCAACCAGATGGTGGCGCTATTGAAAATATGTTTTAAACAAAACTCTGACCCGTCATCAATAATCAAAAACACAAACTAAGCAGCACCCTCTAAAACCTAGTGTGTCTAACATAAAATCAATGTACAGGTGTGTGTCAGTTACCCCCACCTAGATCCTTGCCCAATTTCCTTACCAGTTCTCAGATAAAGGCAACACAGGAAACAAAGATTTTACACTTGTCAATCACTAAGTAAAGCTTCTACAGAAGTTTAACAGGTTTACCACAGTAGGGCACAATATACACATGGCAAATTGATCAAGGGCAAAATCACAACTGCTGGTTCAACACAGGCAGCTATTTAAATAGAGGAAGGCGGTAGATGATTGGGGGGGACTGCCAGACGCCGCACCAATCAGATCACCGGCTGGAACCAGGAAGTAGGCAGGTCTTGCGCCAGCCAATCCTCGGCAAGGGTCACACATCCTGCTTAACATGACACAGCGCCTGTGTGTGATGGACAGCTGGACGAGCAGGCTGGTAGCCCCTTCAGACCTGCCTTATGTTCCAAGGTTGTGAAAAATATAATAATGACTTTTTCCCATCCTTAATGCAACCAGAAATGAGAATCAATAAAAAAAAATGTTTTTAATCAAAACCCTTTAATTGTTATTTTTCTTATCCATTTCAATGGACATCGGGTCCAAACAATTCTTAAAATACCAACATCATATGACAACATCATACCTATTTTTGTCTGTTAAATGTTGCAAAAAGTAAAAAAGAAGCCCCTGTCAAGTGACGTCCATTGTAATGGACACAGGGTCTGATGGGGATAAGCAAAGGTTCTATTTCGTATAGGCTACGCCCTCTAAGAGCTATCGTTATTGGGTTTATCCCTCGCGCACCTGCGCAGTACTAAGAAAAAATAGTCCACGCCCACCCACGGGGGGGGGGCCCCACCTACACGGTGTATAAATATCCGTGTTAACATACAATCAGCTCCGCATTTCTTTCAGCCACCAAGCTGCAAGTATTGAGATTCACCTTAAAGACAAGTGAAGAATTACAACCATGTCGGCGGAGATGGCAACCTCCTCAGCGGGCGACAGGCCGTGTCCCTAACCCTCATCCCGGGGTAGTCCGGGATCCCTCCCGCTCTGGCCACCGTCCTGCCATCGATCGGCGGACTGGTGAAGGAGCTACCAGACATCATAAAGGATGCAGCAGCTCGCCGGGGCCTGCCGGTCCCGCCGGCACAGGAAACCGCCCCATCAGCCCCGATGGCCCACCCCGCCTGTGGCTGGACCAGACCCACATCCCCGAGGCATCGAGATGGGAGCTCCTCGAGGCTCCGATCCACGCGGATGGGCTGTTCGGACCTCGTTTCCGGGACATGGTGGACTCAACTGGGGTCAGCAGCCTGCGCGCCAGCAGCGCTTCAATGACCGTAGCCCCAATCGTCCCAGCGGCAGCCGGGGCCGGAAGCGACCCCCTGCGGTGACGGGAGCGGCTCCTCACCGCCCGGCTTCCTCCTCCACGCCAGGTCGGCCTCCCTTCCCACCCTCCGCGGCTGGTCAGCAGGCTCGTCAGCAGGCTCCATGGAAGGGCCCGAAGGGCGGTCGCTCAGGCTTCGGCTGGGCCAATCCTCCCCTTGAGCCTCTGAAGAAACAGAGCCGGAGACGCTGACATGATGGAGGGGACATGTGTGTTAATGTTCTGAATGTTGCCACTAATGCTGTTGTTGTGGGTGATGTTGCCGCTACTGCGGCTGACGCTGCCGTTGCTGGGGCAGACTGTTTTGAAATAAAACAAAAACATCTTCCCCTAAAGAGCAACATCCTACCGAGCAAACAACCTACACCTGTCTCTGCTGAGGCAGCTGTAGTTACTCACAAGTTCCCCACAAAAAGCGAGCCAGCTCTCCCTAACCTGCCGGTTGGTGGACAGCTCGGTCTCGAAGTTTTGAAGCACTACACATCCTCTGTTTGTCAAACAGAGTTTTCCCCTACACGCGCTTGTGACAATGAGTCCACGAGCGCCGCACGTGCGCTTCGTGTGGACAATATACACACACTACCGCCTGTAAACTGCGGCTCCCTCCTCTCATCAGAGAGCGGGAATGCTGGCATGTCACGACATCCCGTTCGTGGGCCTTCTCCCACTAAACGGCGATGTACAGTCCCTGCTGTTAATGCGTCTAATGTAGCCTCAGATCAATCCCCCGCTGCAGCGCAGCTCTTGGGGATTTCGTCAGCAGCCCCCCATGGGTCACTACTGGGGTTTCCCCGCCTCTGGTGACGGCGGCGAGGGCTCTGTCGCAGCTCGTTTCCATGGCAACGACAGCAAAGCAGGAAAATGTACGCCCGCTCTCTGAGCGCTCCTCGGTGTGGCAGCGCGTTTGTGTGATGGACAGCTGGATGAGCAGGCTGATAAGCAAAGGCTACACCCTGCAATTCGCCTCTCCACCTCCCCGCTTCAACGGGATTGTGAAGACGGTCCTGTCGTCTCAGGACCAGCGTTTAGCTCTCCAGTCGGAGTTGCAGGAACTTCTGGCAAAAAATGCAATCTCCAGAGTTCCTCGTGGGGAGGAAAATCGGGGGTTTTACTCCCGCTATTTTCTGGTTCCGAAGAAAACAGGGGGGATGAGACCCATCCTAGATCTGTCCCTGTTCAACAAATCAATAATGGTCAGACCTTTCCACATGCTGACCATCAAGAGAGTGCTGGGATGTGTGCGTCTCGGAGATTACTGTGTGTCAGTGGATCTGAAAGACGCATATTTTCACGTTCCCATCATTCCAAAACACAGGCAGTTCCTGCGTTTTTCATTCCAGGGGGTTCAATACCAGTACAACCGCCTGCCGTTCGGTTACTCCCTGGCCCCTCGCACTTTCTCGAAATGTGTGGAAACAGCTCTGCAGCCGCTACACAAAGGAGGGATGAGAGTGCTGTTTTATCTGGACGATCTACTGCTGTTAGCTCGCTCCGAGGAAGAAGCTCTGGTGCAAACGAAAGAACTGCTGTCACATCTGTCAAACCTGGGCTTCACCATAAACTGGAAGAAAAGCTCTCTTCCCCTCCCAGTCCATCACGTACCTGGGTGTGGACTTGAACTCTGCCAGCATGACAGCACGGTTATCACAGCAGCGAGTGGCTGCTCTGACAGCCCTGTTGCAGCGTGTCGCGCCTCTCCGGGTGGTGACAGCGCTATCTCTCATGCGGCTGCTGGGGATGATGTCAGCGGCTCACGTGGTCGTTCCTCTGGGTCTCCTCCACATGAGGCGTTTACAGAGATGGTTTATTCGTTTACATATCGACCCCGTGCGTCACCGGAGAAGAATGATCTCCGTTCCTCCCTCCGTGGGCCCCGATCTGGCTTACTGGAGAAATCCCCGCATCCTGTCGGACGGGATTCCCCTGGGCAGAGCTACGTCGCATATCTCGGTGTTCACAGATGCATCTCTCTCAGGGTGGGGGGGGACGTGTCTGTCTCAGGTAGTGGGCGGCCGGTGGCCAGCTCACGTGTCCCTCCAGATAAACGCACTGGAACTTCTCACAGTGTGGAAAGGGGTCCAGCACTTCGCCCCTGTGCTGCGCAATCAGCACGTGCTGATTCGCACAGACAACAAAGCCACAGCAGCGTACATAAACCGCCAGGGGGGGGTTCGATCTGCTCGGCTGCTAAACATAGCGAGACAGCTCTTATGCTGGACGCACGCACACTGTCTGTCCATCAGAGCAGTGTATATACCGGGCGTACTGAACAGAGGTGCGGACGTCATGTCGAGGGGAGGCCCCCGTCATGTAGAGGGGAGCCTCCATCCCGAGCTGGTTGCCGAGGTGTGGAGCAGATTCGGCAGAGCCCAAGTGGATCTGTTTGCTGCTCTCGGGAACACACAGTGCGACCTGTGGTTCAGCCTGAGCGCACGGGACAATCCTCCGCTGGGAGTGGACGCGTTTGCACATCGTCCTTGGCCCAGGATGTTTCTGTACGCTTTCCAACCGGTTCCGCTCATCCCTCGGGTTCTGGACCACGTGCGGGAGGAGCGACTGTCCATGGTTCTGATAGCCCCAGAATGCACGAGTGCGTCATGGTTTCCGTGTCTGCGGCGGCTAGTGTCGGGCCTCCCCTGGGAACTGCCGTGGCGCGGGGACGCGCTCTCACAGGCAGGAGGGGCGATCAGGAGTTACCCAGTACTGGGGCAGCGGTTATGGGCCTGGCCTCTGAACGGGAACGTTTAGAGAGGTTGGGTCTCTCTCAGGCCGCGTCTACTAGAGTGTCATACACGGCAAAGTGGGCAGCCTTTCAGCACTGGTGCGTAGAGAGGAGTTTAGACCCCACTGCGTGTCCTCTGCCTCACGTGCTTTCTTTCCTGCAAACACTGGTTGACAGGAATCTGGCTTTCAGCACGGTTAAGACTTATGCTGCGGCTGTTTCATCCTGTCACGAAGGCTTTGGTGACAGATCAGTTTACAGTCATCCGCTGTTGAAGTGTTTTCTGAGAGGTGTGCGGAGACACCGACCTGTGTCTCGCTCCTTTACTCCTCAGTGGGATTTGGCGCTGGTTTTACACGCGCTGATTAAACCTCCCTTTGAACCGCTGGATCAGGTTCCGCTCAAATTTCTGTCCATTTGGCTCTGATATCTGCGAAAAGAGTCAGTGATTTATCTGGTCTTTCTGTGGCTCCATCGTGCCTGAGAATACAGGGAGATGGCAGCTCAGCTGTCCTGCGTCCGAACCCAGCTTTTACTCCTAAAAGCATCACCAGTTTATTCAGATCGAGAGTGATAACGCTGAAGGGGTTCTTCCCCCCTCCTCACAGATCAGAGGAAGAAGCCATGTCCCATCTTCTCTGTCCAGTGCGCGCTCTGTCATGCTATGTGGCACGCATGGCCTCTTCACGCCGTTCTCAACGTCTCTTTGTTCATTACAGAGATCATTCTATGGGGCTTCCTCTGTCTGCACAGCGCCTGTCACACTGGCTGTGTGAGGCGGTTGCGCAGGCTTATATTGCCTCAGGGTCGGACCCCCCGGAGGGCATCAGGGCGCATTCCACCAGGGGAATCGCGTCCTCCACAGCTTTACGTGGAGGAATGACGGTGGAAGACATATGCACGGCGGCATCTTGGTCTTCCCCCTGGTCTTTTATTCGCTTTTATCTGCGGGATGTGTCGCAGTTCTCCATGACTCACTCTGTTCTGAGTGTTCTGTCACAGTGATGTGTTCATTCCTGTCTCTACTTTGCTCCCCTGTTGCAATGCGAGACTTCATCATTCCTCATGTGTTATTTCGTTTCTGCTCTTCATTCGGACTGTTACAGTACGTAACGCTCGTCTCCATTCATCACAGCAGGTTTGATTTCCCCCAACTTCTCCTCAGTACATTCTGAGGAATGTGGACTGCGTTATTACGTACAGCGTATTGGTTGGGCGTGGATGGAGCTGTGGTTATTTCAAGTGGCGGGTATGTCTGTGCTTATGATACGTGTGGAACCAGTGTGGCATAGACTATATCCTGCTACGCCCTTATCCCAATAGCGATAGCTCTTAGAGGGCGTAGCCTACAGAAATAGAACGTTAGTTACGTATTGTAACTCCAGATTCTATGAGTATAGGCGCAGCCCTCTAAGCTAGGGGCCCCACTGGTTCCCTGTGGCTAAAAGAAAAGCCTCTTTTTTGGGAGCTGATTGTATGTTAACACGGATATTTATACACTGTGTAGGTGGGGCCCCCCCGTGGGTGGGCGTGGACTATTTTTTGTCAGTACTGCGCAGGAGCGTGAGGGACAAACCCAATAGCGATAGCTCTTAGAGGGCTGCGCCTATACTCATAGAATCTGGAGTTACAATACGTAACTAACGTCACTTTCACTACCGGGGGGGCAAAGAGGGAGAAGAAGGTAGCAGAACACGAACAAGAGGAACCCACAAGCATCTGCTGTTTGGAGCAACTACAGGGAACCTATCAGCAGATGTAATGGTGGAGCTGAGATCCCTGTTCCAGTGCAGACCCTCTGAGCTGGTGGTTCAGTGTTCTTTCTACCAACCTCTAACACATAACGGCAGACTCGCCTGAATGCTGCTTTTTCTTCGGCACATTTAATTTATATTGTGTTGTGTTTCACTGTATGCAGTTGCAAATTTTCCGTCACACGGGAATGTGTTTTTATTTTTGTATTTCATAAAATTAACACCCTGTTACACACAAGTGTATTAACAAAACCTCCATTATAGCAAATATCATTTAACACTATTGGTAATCAATAAACATAGATATAATTTATGTATATGGAGAATTTTACTCAATTTGCCATTAATTTATTTAAGCAAAAAGGGAGCAGAGAGGCAACTCTTTAGTGAACCAAGACAAAAGAACTGATTCTCTAAAGCCTGAACTCCAATAAACACTGATCTTGTGACAACATAAGTTACAAATTCTCATAATAAATCAGGACTGTGCTCTGCAGATAAAGTGTGTGGCTCTTAAAAGAGCCTTTGGTTCGTTATCAGCGGGTCTGGATGAGCTTTAACCCCCGAAGCCGTACAGGGTGCGGCCCTGCCTCTTCAGAGCGTACACCACGTCCATGGCGGTGACGGTCTTCCTCTTGGCGTGCTCGGTGTAGGTGACGGCATCACGGATCACGTTCTCCAGGAACACCTTGAGCACACCGCGGGTCTCCTCGTAGATCAGACCGGAGATACGCTTCACACCGCCACGGCGAGCCAGACGGCGGATGGCGGGTTTGGTGATTCCCTGGATGTTATCACGGAGAACTTTACGGTGACGCTTGGCGCCTCCTTTACCGAGTCCTTTGCCTCCTTTTCCGCGGCCAGACATTTTCTTACTGTCGGTTAGTCAACGGTGAATGAGTGGATGCTGCTCGACCGTCACTATTTACAGCCTGACTGCGGACGTAACAGAGGACAGGCAGCGGGTAGTAGGCAGCTTTACTTCTTTTATTATTTATTTATTTTAGGAATGATTGTGTTTTTATCTTCTTTTTTTTAAAATAAACTTTATTGATATTTTACATAAAAAATATTACATAATTATTTTCTGATTAATCGTCTCAGACTATCGGTGGACGTTCAGCACGTTGTTATGGAGGTCCGCACACTCATTTTATAAAGGTGTTATTTTCTTATTAAAGGTGGTGAATCTAACCAGTGCTTGAATTAATACAATATGTGTTACATTATAGGGGACTGAATGTTTCCTTTGGGTTCCTGCTCATGTAGCAGTGGAAGGAAATGAGAAGGTCGATCTATTGGCAAAACAATCAATAACACATATTATTAGACTGCAGCAAATATGATCAATAAGTTGATATCAGCATTTAATGAGGGTTTTTATCATTAAGCTATAGCTCACACAGAGACGCAGTCGTTCAGAAGAACCTCAGCAGTTATAGAAATACAGAAAAACTGAACTTGGTAGGAAAGTTTTTGGACATAAAATTAGTTATTTTAGACAATTATTTTAATTTTTTGGGGGAAACCTTGAATCTGACTAATAAAGATAATTACAGATATTTTACCACAACTATAAAATATTCTCTTAGATAATTATGAATAGATTTGATTATATATTAGAGGAAAATATACACAGAGAACACAATGTGCAATTAAAGGACATAACGCAGAATAATCTTTCACAAACAAAATGTTTTTACATTATTGATAAAAACAATAAAGCTGGGATGTGATCCGATAAAAGTAAATAAACTGTAATTAATCAGTATTATAAATATTTATTGTCCACGAGCTCCTGTATGTTTAATATTGTTTTAATTAAAACCTGCTGAATCACTCCGATACAGCAGGTGGCGCTGTGATCCATTTCCGTTGGTTCACGAACCGTCAATTGTCACAACGAAGAAGAAGCAGCAGCAGCAGAATAATAATAAGCCGAAGAAGACAATATTAGTGACTTATGTTAAAACTAGTTTTCTTTAAACGCGCCAGTGATTAAATCTCTCTGCGTCATGTTGTCACGGTGAGACTTGTTTACTTCAAACGCTCATAAACAGATTGTTCCTCTGAAGTTTGTTTATGTTTATTTCTACCGAGCTAACGCTAATGGGTGGGGTCTGCTAGCAGCGTTAGCATGTGGCTGCTAGCGGACACACTGAGGGCTTCAGACATAAAGATAATATATAAATATAAATATAAATATAAAGACTTTAATGTGCTTAATCATTCACCGTGAACATGAGCTCCAGTCTGCGGCCTCAGCTTCACTGTGCGTTTCTTAGTTAGCGCGGATCTAAAAGTTGCGTTTCAATACCAAACTCCATTAAGAATTCTGACAATTTAAAGTTTACAAGAACAAACAAATGTCAGAAATATGAAATAAATACTTCATCTGAATCGGCGAAAGCTTATCTGAAATTCGGCATATATATTATACACAATAATACTCGTTTAATTAGATTTTAAACTTAAAGAAGTGGGTTGCTTGTCCTTTATTATTTGTCTCCTTTCGCTTAAATAAGACACAGATTTGACTGGAGCACCGTTTTAAACATTAGTGTGTGTTTATGTATTTATTTTATACTTAAGTTAAAACAGATGTCAATAACTAACATAATATATCAGCTTATAAGTACAGAAAGTATATTTGTGTCTGGGTTTATGTTCCATTGATTTAATATGTATAAAATCCTGGGTGTGTATTAGTCTGATGTTTAACCGCAATAGTCCAAAATCACCAACACAAAGAGCTTTATGGGTCCTTTATTTGCTCTGTCGTTAGTTTAGCTGCAGGTTAACATTCACACCTGTGTACAAAAGCACATTTCAGTCCCAGTTGAATCTTTATGAAGCTGCTGTGTCCTGTAGAAAGCAGCTCCTGCCTCCAGAGGTCGCTGCAGAGAGTCTGATATACTCTACTGCTTTCTACCTGAACTCCACTGAACCTCAGAGGGAAATATTCTACTTTAGATTGTACAAAGGGAACTTTTTAAAATGTCCTTTAATCCATTAGTTTGTTGACAGAAAATTAATTTTTTTTTTTTTAAAAAAATTTAGGTCTTTTAAATGTGAAGATTTGTAGATTTTTCCTTTAAATAATTTTAATAAATGTAATAAATATTTTACTCATCAAACACACTGTCACTCTTCTTCTCTCGCCTGCAGCCGACTATGGACGAAGTGAACGTTGTCTCTCTTGCTGTTGGAGGATGTGTGGACGCCTGCTGCCTGCTGCTCGACCTGGTCGTCAGGACGTTCAGCTGGCTGTGTCGCTTCCTGTCCGGCGCGGGCGCTTCCCTCCACAACACGCTGGTCGTCCTGAGCGGCTCCTCTCTGGTCGAATGCTGGAACTTTGCTCTTTTCTCCTTCCTCGCCGCCACTGAGGCCGTCTCCAGCGCCGCCTGCGGAGCGCTGCAGGTTGTGGAGGGCTGGCTGCAGACGCTGGGAGGAGTGTTTGAGAGTTTCAAGATGGTGGGACACCTCTCCTGTCACGTGGCGTGGCGAGTCAAGGACGTGCTTCACCGTGGGTTTATTTCAGGGAGCTGCGTCCTGCGACAGACGTGCGAAGGCCTCTGCATCGCGCTCAGCCTCGTTCTCTACTTTGTCAACACGGTGGTCAACATCGTCCTCATCGGCACGCAGAACTGTCTGTCTGTGTTGGCGGGCGTCTGGGAGGTGGTGGCGGACCCCGTGCACAAAGTGTTGGAGCTGGCTCTGACTGCGCTGACCTTCCTGTACAGTTGTCTGGTCGGTGCCTCGGTGCTGCTGTGGGCGCCCTGCCAGCTGCTTCTGGACTTCCTGGGAGCGTTGGGCCGTGTCTTCATCACTGTGTTCATGGTGGACTCACACGGCCTGCTCATCACCGCGTTCATCATCTCAGTGGCTTTGCTGTTACTGAACCCCAGACTTCCTGTCCTCGCCGGACGCCTCAGCCTCCGTTTGGTCAATGCTCTCCTGGGAGCGTGGACGATACTCGAACAAGCTGTGGCCAATCGGGCGGCACACAGTACAACGAGGCTCCCGCACACCGACGCTTCAGTCGCTGAGACCGACCTGCCGCCAGCGAATGAACCGACCCAGCCAGACCCTCCGCAGCTCCAGGATCAGCTGGACGACGAGTCAGCGGGCGCCAGCAGCAGGATTGGTACATCGCGGCTGAACTGTACTCCGGTGGACGGCGACAGCTCTTCGACTGACAGCGAGCTGCTCAGCCTGCTGAAGGAGCAGGAGGAGAGGAAGAAGTGCGTCATCTGTCAGGACTTGAGCAAGACTGTGCTGCTGCTGCCCTGCCGTCACCTCTGCCTCTGCCGGCACTGCGCCGACATCCTGACCCAGCGCCGACACGTCCAGCAGCGCTGCTGTCCGCTCTGCCGGCAGTCCATCACGCAGACCCTGGACGTCTTCCTCTGACGGCCGGTGGACCAGAGATACAAGCTGCAAACTGAAGCACACGAAAACAGAATATCTTGGATAATAACGGACTCTCTGCGATATAGTTGTTTATTTCTGTAAAATAATTAATAGTTGGTCAGTGTCAAACTCATGGACATATAAAAGATGGACGTCGCATCTCCACTTCCTGCCACTGTTCAAATATGAAACCAAAATATCCCGGAGCCGGGCTCAACTGAAACCGCCTTCAAATGACAGATTAAAAACAAACTTGAACGACCTAAAACGACAGGAACCATCTGTGGATGTGATGCACTGTGATGGTTTTTTAGGCTCTGTTTACACAGAAAGTGGAGCTTTTTTTAAAATGAAAATGTTTTGCATTTTAATAAAAGCTCTGCATCCTTAATTTATCTGATGTTGCATCTGCCACCAGGAAGCAGTCGAGATATTTTGGCTTCACTTTAGGGGAGTTGTCGTTTCGTGTGTCTTTATATATGTCGATGGTCTTTAGTGAACTGTGCCAACTAATACTATGTGTCTTTATTCTTTGTTCAGGAAACATTTCTAACTTTACTCAACAGTATTTGTGTGCGCTGACTTTTAATCTTAACACTTAAAAACCTAAATATATTTATCTTATTTATGTTTGCCATCAGCTTTAAAAAGCCAAAACAACAGAGAAGCTGTGAAGTCTCTTGATATGTAAGAAGTTCATAGCTGCTGATTATTACTGGATTAATACAGCCGAGGATTTGTGCCAAAGACTTTGCTGCAATTGTTTTTGTACTTGTGTAAAAATCAGTGCCTGAATTGAACCAAAAAAGCTGCCAGTACCCCCGTTCAGTTCAACCCTGTACAGTTTATTTATTTATTTATTATCTACTAGGGATGTCACGAGAGCCGATAGTTCGCTACCAAGTCGATGCCAAGATATTGAAAAGCTGCACACTCACTACGCCACTGCAAGTGCAACAGGAGTCTCACAAACAAGTAATTTAGCAACGTAACCCGCTCACAGGATGTACAGACGAGGAAAAATGAACAGCAGGATACAGCTGGTTCAGGTAACTCAGGTAAAAGATGAACTGAAGCAACAAACTCTGCAGGACAGTTTTAAAGAGAAATTCCTTCCAGATCTGAAAAGATTACAAAGAGAGTTTGTTAGGCTATTTTAAAGCCAACTAGTTATTTAGTATAAAATATATATGAAATAAGTTGCATTAATAATAATACAATATGTATAAAACATTAAGGAACAGCTTGATTGCTTTTGTTAATTCACTGCGGAGCTTTTCATCTGTATTGGATCGGGAAAAAAACTCGAGTGGGACATTTTTTATCGTGGTACTCAATTGGTATCGAGAATTTCATCTGGTATCGTCCCTAATATCTACCGTAGACGTCCTCATTAGTGAGTATGGCCGCGGGGTTCTCAGTACCGGTGAGTACTGGCCCATTTCAGGCACTGGTAAAGTGTATGTAAGGATGTTTTGTTCATATTTTAATGTATTTAAAAAATATAAAAGTCATCAAATATGTGGAAGACTGAATATCTGCACTGGATGTTTAAGTTGATTTAATTTTATAATTTTGAACATTTTTAATTAATATAACATGCCTTAATTAGTTAATGGTAGATTTATTTAACAGATAATAATTGAATTATTAAACAGGGCTTTATTTTGTTCTCATTCTTACAAATCCTAAAATATCCTAAATAGGAGTTTTCAAACGTTCTCCACACCAAAAGAGCAGGATTTCCCAAACAAATGTTCATCTTTAGTTGTATTTCTCTCACACAACTCATCCAGCATTCGTCCTCCCAGATGTCCACTCTTAGTTTAGCTGCACAAGATTTATTGTGTGTGGACAACAATGTACAGACAGTAAAGCTACAGTCTGTGATTTCTGCCACTGGGGGTCTCTCACATTAAAACAATAAGAAAAAGATTAAGTGTGATGAGGTGGTGAAGCAGTGAGGGATCATGGGAGTTGTTGTCTTCACCACCATTGGCGTCATTGCAGTCAGCTTCTCCCGGTTAGGATTCCTTCAATGTTCGTGGTTCAGGAGGTTTCTACCGGGAGCCCAATGATCCACAGAGGTCTCCTCCTCCTTCAGTATGATATTGAAAGTTGAAACCACACAATAAAGAAATGTCCACACAGTATTATAATTGTATGTTTATTATTTTATTATAGACAAGAGCATCAGAAAAACGTATCACTTTCAAATTTGAAAAGAAAAGCTACCTGTATGTTAGATTGCTTTAATAATAATAAAGATTTTCATTTGTATAAATTGATGTTGCACTTCTCTGTCATCCAGCTTTTATATAAAGGAAAATCAGAAGTTCACTATACATTACTACAGTGATTCAAGATTATCAGATTACATTTGAGATCAGTTCAGAGGAAGAACTGTTCAAGAGTTTAAAGGAAAAGAGGAAGAGTTTCTGTCTTACATGGTGAAAAGCAGATGACCACTGAAGGTGGTATGGTGACTACCATCATCAAACACCTTTGTATTTTCCCACAGACGCACAAACACAACATCTCCAACCTCTAGGAGCAGTGTAGCCCCCCATAGCAGTAGTCCCATAACCGGATGTCTGATGTTCATATGCCGTAAAAATGAGTTGTGAGTTCTTGACCAACACAGCTGCTGAAGCCTGGTGACCTCCATATGTTCCTATGTACCACTCGAAGTGGTAGGCTCCTCTCACTGGTGCAGTGAAAATACCTGTTGAACATTTGTTTTTAGTCTTTTTAAATGAAAATTCAACTGTTGCAACATTAGACATCAGCATAGGTAAAAATAACAGAGTTCAGGTACCTGTGTCTGGGTTGTAGGCCTTTCCAATGTTTGTATCGACATGTTTGAAGATCAGAGTAGTGTGTCTGGGAAAGGGTCCGACATATCCGCTGCCTGTAGCCAACAGAGAGGCTGAGAAAGCCACCTGCCCAACTGAGAGAGAGAGAGAGCAATATGTATACACCAATCAGCCACATTAAGAAGAAGAAGATATACTTTATTAATCCCCAATGGGGAAATTCTTTTTTCACTCTTACTTTACACACTGGCCTGAAATAAAATCATGCATATGGAGGGCTTATAGACATGCAAATGTGGAGAGATGGTGGAGTGATGGGCTGCCATGTAGGGACACTGTGAGCAGTTAGGGGTTGGGTGCCTTGCTCAGGGGCACATCAGCAGTACACTGGAGGTCTAACTGACACCTCTCCAGATGATCTGACCCAGTCGTCCATCACAATGTGGTTCTTGTCAAAGTCACTCAGATCCTCACGCTGCACATTTTTTCTGATTCTAACACTTCAACTCTGAGGACCAAATGTTCACTGTCTGCCTGATATACCCCCAATAACAGGAGCTCTACCGATATTTTATACCGTGTGCTCATAATGTATAGCTGATTTTTGTAATTTTGTGTACCGCCACAAAACACGAATTCACTATAACTTGAGTGTACATTGTCCAATCGGCTCCACACTTCAAATGCTTGATAACAGTCCCGCCCTGAACACGTGTACAAGACAATATTCAGACATAGTGATAGCGCCACCTACTGGCAATAGGAAGTAAGCGCTGCACGGCGATTTTGAGCTGAGTTACATGAAATGACCGTGCCAATGACGATTTGTCGAATTCACCGGATTCGCCACAAAACAGCACTCATAACTTCAGTGTGCAATGTCCAATCTCCAATAAACTTCATATATTCTGTAACAGTCTCGCCCTGAACACGTCCTCATAACTTCAACGTGGTCCAATCTCAATGAAACTTCACGTGTGTTACAACAGTCCCACCCTGAACATGTCTACGTGACAACATTCAGACATAGTGATAGCGCCACCTACTGGCAACAGGAAGTAAGAGCTGCGTGGCGATTTTGAGCTAATTTACGTGGAATTTTCATGATGTGGTCCGCACGTGTTATGATGGCACGCGACGTGGGCTGCAGCTATTCGTGGAGTGCGAGGTCCCACCCAACGCTGCTTGCAGCTTTAATGTTTTTTTTATTTTAGCATACATTAAATTTTTAACATATTTCAGATTTAAAAGATTTAAATATTGAATTGCTAATTTTGAAAAACAATCTCAAAATTAAAGCTGCAAGCAGCGTTGGGCGGGACCTCGCACTCCACCCAACTCGGGGCATGCTGCAGCCCACATCGCGTGCCGTCGTAACACGTGCGAAAATAAATTATAATTAGCTAGTTTTATTGTTGAATGTTTCATAGACATGTTCAAGGGAGATTGTTGACCACGTAGATTGGACCACGTAGCTGAAGTTATGAGGACACTGTCACTGGCACGCGGTTTGATGTACAGTCACAGCTCAACTTTTCAATCAGTTTGTAGGACGACAGAATTCAAAATCGACAAGTTGCCACAGACACGCCGTTCAACGTACAGTCTCAAATAGCACAACTTTTAATGAGCACCATTTTTTGAGTGTACTCACAAATTTTGAAGCAGATCCGATAAATTTCCTAGGAGGAGTTCGTTCAAATACAATGCGAAAAGTTCGCCAGAAGTGAAAATCAAAATCAAAATGGTGGCGATGGCCTGAAACTGTGCAAGATGCCTAAGGAAGACATGGGGAACTATGGACTCAAGCTTGGTTTCAATCGGACATACCAATGTGGAGAAATGGTCCACTTCCTTTTTTGACGAAAAATTCACAGGAAGTACTAATTTTATAACGTGCTGGGTTTTTGAAATGTCAAAATTCTTTTAATCACTTTTTTATTATGAGGGTCCTCAGATGCTACGTGAAAAATTTTGTGCGAATCAGACAAAGCGCATGGGGGGAACACGGGTAGATGGAGTAGTTTATGAACATTTCGTGCTCTAGTGGAGAAAAATTCTAGGCGGAAGTGGGCGTGGCCTATATCGGAAGATTCAGCTCTATTCACCGAACGCGTGGATATAAGGTTTTTGAATGTGCGACACACTATGCAGAAGTTATTAGCCTAAGTGCATTTTTTATGATAGTAGCGCCACCTAGTGGACAACCCGAAAACGACGCATAGAATATCCCCATTTTCACCAGGCCTGACAATTTTGCCAAATAAAATTGAGTTTTCGTATATGTTCAGGGGGGCAAAAATGCAGTCAAAGGGGGCTAAAAATAATAATAAGAAACATAACAAATGCAATAGGGGCCTCCAGCGGTGGCTGGCTCGGTCCCTAATAATTATCTCTAATCAAACTAATGTTTGACAGTTGAACATATGCATACTAGCTAGAAACATGGTTCTAGTTCTTATTCTGGCAGCATGTGTAAGAGATTATTTAATGTATTCCAACTTGGTGATAAATTATTGTACAGTTTTTGAAATATTGATTATTGTATGATTTCTTTGTTGAATGGCTATCAATGTTCACATAAATTCATCAATATCTAAAATACTACACATACAAAGGAAATCATACGTATAATTCCCCAGGGAATATGTTCAACATAAAAGCACCACCAAGTTATAAAGCTCTTATTCTGGACAATTCTCACTTGTTAAGAATTTGATGGATGTCCATCTGTAGGTGGTGCATCAGGACAAATACAACTTTAAATAGGTTAGAAATTAAAGAAGTTGGTCATCATGATTGAATTTTGTCAAATGAAATGTCCTATAAATCTCAAAGGAGCAGAAGCAGCTGGTAGAAATCATAAACACTTTCTCCAATACATGCACGTACTAATTATGGCAGCAGTTATCAGTTTCAGTACTTGATATTATGGTATTTGAGAGTAAATAATATTCTGGTTAATTACATTTTATACCACACAGTAGTAGTATTGGTGTAGTAAAGATACATTACATTTTTGTTATACAAATAATCAGACATGATGATTTACACACACAGTACCTTTCAGCTGTTGCTTCAGCTTGTCAACCTCAGTCTCCTGCTTCTTTAACTCAGTCTCCTGCTTCTTCAACTCGTCTCCTGCTCTTCATCAGCCTGTTCTTCAACTCAGTCTCCTGCTTCTTCAACTCAGTCTCCTGTCGCTCCAGCTTTGCTGCATGCTCTGAAAAAGAGGAGAAATAAATTTGTTAATGTGATTTGTTTTGAATACTTTGTTTGTAATTTCTGTACTTTTGGATATGAACTGCTATGACATTGATTCCCTTGTAAAACAACAGTAATTCCTATGGAAGGGTTCCTGATGCTATTCCTTCTCTCATTACCCGACATAATACTGTACCTTTATTCTCTGTTTGCAGCAATCTCATGTCAAACTTCTGTTGAGTCAAAGTAACAGCCATCTCTCTCAGCACAGCAAGGATGTCTTGTGGTAAAGACTGTAGGGATGTGATCTGCTGTGCAAGAATTTCTTTTTCTGCCTCCGTCTTATTCTGATCTGTGGAGCCAGAGCAGACCAGCAGCAGCAACGGGAAAATCACAGTGATCTTCATTGTCACACTGGCAGCTTACACAGGTGAACTGTGTCCTCTGTAGACCGGTGTGAGGTTTATGTAGTACAGCAAAAAGAGGCGTGAAGGTGAGGGAGGTGGACGCCACAGACAGAATATTTCCTTATCCCCATTTCACATGATTTATTCTCAGCCATTGTCAGATTGAGGATATATATATATATATATATATATATATGAGCCATTACAGAAATTAAGTGTTGTGTTGAGTGAAGAAGGAATGGGCACTGAGTTTATTTCCTCATACTACACTGTGACAGACTGGTTCCACTTAATGAACTGACAGCATTACTCAACAGAGGTGTGTTTTTGTTTTCTAATGTTAGACAGGTTTGGTCACCAGCCAACTTCACTGCACATCAGCCATTCAACACAAATTATGTCTCAACCTATGGATGAACCTTTGAGTCCATCAAGATCCTCAGTCCGCCCACTCTCAGTCACCTATCCCACCAGGAACAGCTGATGTCCAGCAACGGGGGACATAAATAAATCCCACCCTGATGTTGACAGGATCAATACAGTCTATCCATTCCTTATCTTCCTTATACCTGACCTTATATATTTTAAGAATATCTTATCTTATTTATTTTTTTATAAGTTTTGTTTGTATTTAAACACTTATGCACTCAGGTCTCTGTTGAAAATGACATCTCGATGTCAGTGGGACTTACCCGATAAAATAAAGGTTTATATATAATCTGCTCGACAGACAGACAAACATTCTTCAACCTTTCAACCAAATCTTGACCACATTATGACATTTATTCATGCATCACAGATATAACAGTATATTTTACATTCTTAATCCTTTTGCCACTTCTCCAATAATTCAAACTCCTTTCTACACTTTGTTAACTTAAATTTATTAATTCAGATGAAAAACTTAGATCTCAATGTCAGTGGGACTTGATGTCCAGCGACGGGGACATAATTAAATCCCACCCTGATGTTGACAGGATTAATACAGTTTATCCATTCCTTCTTAACTTATATTTTTACATTTTTGTTTGTATTTAAACACTTATGTACTCAGGTCTTGTCAAGACTTACCTGATAAAATAAAGGTTTATATATAATCTCCTCAGTCTCCTGCTGCTGCTCCTAATACTTATTTTAGCCCACTACATCATGTGAAATGTGTTGTCAGTTTGGTTTTGTTTTTGGGAATGAGGAAACAGACTTCACAGAAGTGATGATGTTTGAGGAGGCAGGATTAAAGAAATGAGTCTGTTAACTCTGAGATGAGGGAAACTCCAGGAGCCAGTTGAATAAACTTAGTTTAACTATCTTGATCTTACTGCTCTTAAATTGTCAGCTTAGACTCGTCTAATTAAAGCCATATATTGAATCATTTGAAAGTTAGTTGTATATATGTTTATTATTTTATTAATGACAAGAGCATCAGAAAAAACAATCACCTGTATATTAGATTATTTCTCTTGAGTATATTTGACTGCAGATCCAGACCCAGATGAAAAATGTCTCAACATTTAAATTATTACAAATTGTTGTTGCACTGCAAAGAAAGTTCACTATACATTACTACAGTGATTCAAGATTATCAGATGACATTTAAGATCAATTCAGTACAAGAATTGTTCAAGACAGCAAAAACCTGCATGATTATCAGAGTTAAAAGGAAAAGAGGAAGAGTTTCTGTCTTACATGGTGAAAAGCAGATGACCACTGAAGGTGGTATGGTGATTAACACTATCAAACACCTTTGTATTAACCCACAGACGCAGAAACACAACATCTCCAACCTCTAGCAGCAGTGTAACCCCATTAGCAGCAGTCCCATAATGGGATGGTTGATGTTCATATGCAATAAAAATGTGTTGTGAGTTCTTGACCAACACAGCTCCTGAAGGTTGAGCACCTCCATGTGTTCCTATGTACCACTCGAAGTGGTAGGCTCCTCTCACTGGTGCAGTGAAAATACCTGTTGAACATTTGTTTTTAGTCTTTGAAAATTAAACTGTTGCAACATTAGACATCAGCATAGGTAAAAATAACAGAGTTCAGGTACCTGTGTGTGGGTTGTAGGCCTTTCCAATGTTTGTGGGGACATGTTTGAAGATCAGAGTAGTGTGTCTGGGAAAGGGTCCGACATGTTCGCTGCCTGTAGAACAGGAGGAGACATGTCCAACTGAGAAAGAGAGAGAGAGAGAAAAACTTAGAAGAAGTATACTTTTTTTTTTTCTTACTTTACACTGGCCTGAAATAAAATCATGCATATGGAGGGCTTATAGACATGCAAATGTGGAGAGATGGTGGAGTGATGGGCTGCCATGTAGGGAAGCTGTGAGCAGTTAGGGGTTGGGTACCTTGCTCAGGGGCACACCAGCAGTACACTGGAGGTCTAACTGACACCTCTCCAGATGTTCTGACCCAGTCGTCCATCACAAAAAATGCCCATTTTTCCTGCTTCTAATATTCAAACTCTGAGGACCCAATGTCATATAATTTGCCCCCCACTGACAGGAGCCCTGTACCGAATCAGTGTTATTCGCTTCAGTGCTCATAATGTTATGGCTGATTGGTGTATATTACACTGTCTGTGGATACACCATGTGATTTTTTTTTTACTATCCTTTGGTTTAAAAGAACATATTTAAGTATCTTGAAAAAACACAAAACATGTCTGTAATAAAAATACCCCCAAATGAAAAATATTTCATTGTTAAAGAATTATAAAACAGCATTGGTTCCAAACACTGAAAGCTAATTATCTCATTATCTCAGACGTTGTTCAACAGTTTTATTGAGCAAGCAGAAACTGTTATCCCTAGATAACAATAACCCTAATTATCTACTCTGTTATTGTTGTTGTGTTTTTTTATTTTATTTTAGCATACATAAAATTTTGAACATATTTCAGATTTAAAAGATTCAAATATTGAATTGCTAATTTTGAATCCAAAAAAGTGAAAACAATCTCAAAATTAAAGCTGCAAGCAGCGTTGGGCAGGACCTCGCACTCCACGCAACTCGGGGCTTGCTGCGTCGCGTACTGTCGTGACACATGTTCAGGGCGGGACTATTTTCAAGCATTTGAAGTGTGAGGCCGATTGGACAATGTACACTCAAGTTATAGTGAATTCGTGCTTTGTGGCGGTCCATCAAAATTTCCCGCCACCCCACAGACACGCCCCCTCACCACAGTCAACACATATCATCAACAATGTGTTTTGCATTTTATAAGTAAATTTCAGCTGGATCTGATCATCCTGCTAGGAGTACAAAATGAAAGTATAAAACATGATACTTCCTGTTGCCAGTAGGTGGCGCTATCACTATGTCTGAATATTGTCATGTAGACGTGTTCAGGGTGGGACTGTTATCAAACACGTGAAGTTTCATTGAGATTGGATCATGTACGCTGAAGTTATGAGGACGTGTTCAGGGTGGGACTGTACACTGAAGATATGAGTACTATCTGTTTGATGGCCAATCGATGGAATTCGACGCGTCGTCACGGGCACACGGTTAAACGTACAGTCACAAATAGCTCAACGTTTGATAACCAATGTGTGTAGATTGAAGTGATCGAATTTGAAGTCAATCTGATAAAATCTGTAGGAGGAGTTAGTTAAAACAGAAGCCCTTAAAGGCCGGAAATAGCATCACAGTTTGACATTCGATTCAACCTGGCCAACTTTGAGGGAACGCCACGGACACGCCCTTTAACGTACAGTCACAAATACCACAACTTTTAATCAGCACCCTTTTTTGACTGTCTAATTTTGAAGCATATCCGATAAATTCCCTAGGAGGAGTTCGTTCACATACAACGCGAAAAGTTCGCCGAAAGTGAAAATTTAAATCAAAATGGCCGACTTCCGGTGGGGTTTCGGGTATGGGTCCAAGAGGCTTTTTTGTACGTCCCGGCATGTTACACGTGCCTACCGAGTTTCGTACATATTGGTGAAACGTGGCGCCGGGGCTGCTGTTTTTTTATCCAATAGGGGGCGCTACAAACACGACAAACACGATTTTTGGTATGTGAGCTTCAGGCACCACTCTACACGTGCCCTGCGAATTTAATATTCATACCTATTACGGTCTCCGCACAGTAATTTGCCATGCCAAAAAAGCGCCACCTAGTGGCGGATTGTTGACACATTTTTTTAGCGAGCCTCAGGGAGCCATGCGGAAGCATCGTACCAGGTTACATCTTAATCACACATACCGTTTTAGAGATATAAACTTCTTCATTTTAAAGAGCGCCAACTAGTGGTGATGGCTTGAGGTTGTGCACGATGCTTAAGGAAGACATGGGGAACTATGGACCCAAGTTTGGTGTCAATCGGACATACCAATGTGGAGAAATGGTCCACTTCCTTTTTTGACGAAAAATTTACAGGAAGTGCTAATTTTATAACGTGCTGGTTTTTTGAAATATCAAAATTCTTTTAATCACTATTTTATTATGAGGGTCCTCAGATGGTACGTGAAAAGTTATGCGAATCAGACAAACCGCATGGGGGGCGGAAGTGTGCGTGGCCTATATGGGGAGATTCAGCTCTATTCACGGAATGCGTGGATACAAAGTTTTTGAATGTGCGACAAACTATGCAGAAGGTATTAGCCTAAACGCATTTTTTACGATAGTAGCGCCACCTAGTGGCCAACCCGAAAGCGACGCATAGAACATCCCAATTTTCACCAGGCCTGACAATTTTGCCAAATAAAATTGACTTTTTGTGTATGTTCAGGGGGCAAAAATGCAGTCAAAGGGGGCTAAAAATAATAATAAGTAAGAAGAAGAAGAAGAATAAAAAATCAAACAAAAACAATAGGGACCTTGCCGGTCGCTGGCTCGGTCCCTAATAAGAAACATAACAAATACAATAGGGACCTCCAGCGGTGGCTGGCTCGGTCCCTAATAATTATCTCTAATCAAACTAATGTTTGACAGTTGAACATATGCATACTAGCTAGAAACATGGTTCTAGTTCTTATTCTGGCAGCATGTGTAAGAGATTATTTAATGTATTCCAACTTGGTGATAAATTATTGTACAGTTTTTGAAATATTGATTATTGTATGATTTCTTTGTTGAATGACTATCAATGTTCACATAAATTCATCAATATCTAAAATACTACACATACAAAGGATATCATATGTATAATTCCCCAGGGAATATTTTCAACATAAAAGCACCACCAAGTTATAAAGCTCTTATTCTGTACAGTTCTCACTTGTTAAGAATTTGATGGACGTCCATCTGTAGGTGGTGCATCAGGACAAATACAACTTTAAATAGGTTAGAAATGAAAGAAGTTGGTCATCATGATTGAATTTGGTCAAATGAAATGTCCTATGAATCTCAAAGGAGCAGAAGCAGCTGGTAGAAATCATAAACACTTTCTCCAATACATGCACGTACTAATTATGGCAGCAGTTATCAGTTTCAGTACTTGATATTATGGTATTTGAGAATAAATAACATTCTGGGAAATTACATTTTATACCACACAGTAGTAGTATTCGTGTCATAAAGATACATTACATTTTTGTTATACAAATAATTAGACATGATGATTTCACACACACAGTACCTTTCAGCTGTTGCTTCAGCTTGTCAACCTCAGTCTCCTGCTTCTCCAACTCAGTCTCCTGCTTCTTCAACTCAGTCTCCTGCTTCTTCAACTCAGACTCCTGCCGCTCCAGCTTTGCTGCATGCTCTGAAAAAGAGGAGAAATGAAGTGTGAGTGTAATTTGTTTTGAATACTTTGTTTGCACTTTCTATACTTTTGGATATGACATTAATTCCCTTGTAAAACAACAGTGGTTCCTATGGAAGGGTTCCTGATGCTATTCCTTCTCTCATTACCCGACATAATACTGTACCTTTATTCTCTCTTTGCAGCAATCTCATCTCAAACTTCTGTTGAGTCAAAGTAGCGGTCATCTCTCTCAGCACAGCATTGATGTCTTGTGGACAAGGCTGTTGGTTTGCAATCTGCTTATTCTGATCTGTGGAGCCAGAGCAGACCAGCAGCAGCAACGGGAAAATCACAGTGATCTTCATTGTCACACTGGCAGCTTACACAGGTGAACTGTGTCCTCTGTAGACCGGTGTGAGGTTCATGTAGTACAGCAAAAAGAGGCGTGAAGGTGAGGGAAGTGGACATCAGACAGTTGTTTTTTTGGCTCATCTCAAATTTTCATGTTCTTTGAATATTTCCTTATTTCCATTACACACGATGTGGCAATATCTGTAAGAGGATGTTGGAACATGACATCCTGATAATATCATATTTTTTCAACAGTGACCAGACTCCATCAGGGGTGGGTCAAGGGGCAGTGGAGATCATAAAAAGCCCAGAAATCGTTGAATGAGTCCAGGACCATGATACTAGTGATGGGAATTCCGGCTCTTTATTAGAGAACCGGCTCGGCTCACTAAAAAGAGCCGGCTCTTTCGGCTCCCAAGTGGCTCCTCAGATTTTTTGTTGCTTAAATTAATTTATTACCAAATTATGTGTAAAATGAATATCTAATGCAAATACATGCATTATATCAAATGTTTATTATTTATATGGATTTATTAATTTAAAAAAACGGGTGGCTGTGGCTCAGAGGCAGAGCGGGTCATTCCTTAATCGGAAGGTTGTGGGTTCAATCCCCGGCTCCTGGTGCCACATGTCAAAGTTTCCTTGAGCAAGATACTGAACCCCAAATTGATCCTGATGCCGTGCATTGGTGTGCGAATATGTATGAATGTTAGTTTCTGTTCGATGGACTTTGCCATCACTGTGTGAATGTCTGTGAAAGGGTGAATGTGGCACGTAGTGTAAAAGACTAGAAAGGCGCTATACAAGTACAGGTCCATTTACCAATTCAATTCAATTTTATTTGTATAGTGCCAATTCATAACAGAAGTTATCTCATGACACTTTTCAAATAGAGCAGGTCTAGACCGAACTCCTTATAACATTTACAGAGACCCAACAGTACCACCATGAGCAAATATATACTTAATATATTCAACATGGAACAGAGTGCTACAAAAATATATTATAAAATACGAAAACAAAGACCCATCTCAATTAGACAAAAATCTGCTCGATATGAAACTTTGCACAGTCTACACTCTGCCTGTGAACTGTCTATCACATTAAAATGTGTCCAAACTTTACTACATTTTCTGTCACTTATTTTCCTCACCTTTCCAGTGTGTAGTCTCTGTCTATGTAGCGCTTAGTTCTCTCTCTCTCTCACACAGGTCTCCCTCCCACCACACATCTTGACCAATCACGCAGCTTTAACAGAAAAACAGGGAAAAACGGTAAAAAACTCTGGATCCGCTCCCGTCGTTTACGTCAAAGAGCCGGCTCTTAGAGCCGGATCGTTCGCGACTGACCCATCACTACATGATACACACAATATTGCAATATTAAGAGCTTTATTAATATATATAGATAAATGTATCGTCATCATATAGCCTCTTTCAAGTCTTCCAACCACTCAAAGCACTTTTACTCTACATGCCAAATTCACCTATTCACACACATTTATACATATACAGTGTTGTGTGTAACGGGTAAAAAGTAGTGTAACGCGTTACTACTGAAAATATGGTAACGAAATGTAGTTCCTTTTTCAGCTGGGCACAACGTTACTTTTCCCAGGGACAGATTTGACAGCAACACTGCCTCAGCTGCGCGCTTGAAAATAAGGGGAAGAATTTGAGTGTGAGGTGTACACTGTGCCCTGGCCAGAAACTTTTGTCCATTGCCGTAAACTCAACAGCCAACCTCACCAAGCATTTGAAAGCAAAACATGCTAACATAAAGCTTGTTTGAAGTTTGAGTTTGAAGTTTGAAATATCTTTAATGTCCCCAAGGGGCAATTTGGTTCACAACAGGTAGCCAACACATACACATTCACACAAAAACACATAAAACATGAAGCTTGTAGCTCAAGATCCCCGGGGAAATGATGATATGTCGAGTCCAAGCCCACATAAGCAGCTAAAACTTCATTTTCACCAGGTATCTAAACAAGAGTTGGACAAACTTGTTGCTTCGTTCATCGTCTGTCATGGCTCTGCTCCCCTCCTGCTCCCTTTGCTCCTCCTCCTTCCCTGTGTGCCTGATGAGGGTGCGGCCTCCATTCTCCTCACCTGCTGTCTCACCTGCTCTCAATCATTCATCATGCCTCAGCCTTCAAGAACCCGGTTTTCCTCCCACTCATCGCCAGATTGTTTCAGCCAACTTAGTGGTAACTTTCGTGGCTCCTTTCAGTGTCCAGCTTTCCACTACATGTCCACCCGTGATTCTCCTGCTCCAGCTCCCTTGTCTAACCATTTCTCTCCTGTGCTCCAGGAACCCTCGTGTGCAGTTCAGTTCCCAGAGTCAGTCTCCTGTGCCTCCGTGTCTCCGGTCTCCCTTGTCATTTCACCTGCCTGTTCCCTCTCCCCCCCCCCCCAGTGTGTGTGTGCGGAATAAAGACCCTTAAACCGTCCATCTTGTCTGTGTGTCTGCTCCTGGGTCCAGTAACTACCCCTGTCAGAACAATCTGGCCAGCATGGACCCAGCGGACCCAGACTCCGTCCGAAGCGCACTGGCCTACCAGGGACAACGAGTGGGCCAACACGAGAAGGTCCTCGACGAGATCGTGGCAGCCATCCAAGACCTTCGCTGCAGTGTGGCCGCCCTTGGATCCAAGCTCGATCAGGTCTCCACTCCTCCCACAGCTCCTACCACCGCCACTGAAGCAGCTACTCCCTCTGCCTCCCCAGCCATGCCGCATGCAGCCTCTCCTTCCCCCCCCCGCCCCGGGAACCACACGTTCCTACACCTGAACGGTATGCTGGGGATTTGGGGGCTTGTGGGCGGTTTCTGCTTCAGTGCTCGCTAGTTTTCCAACAACAGCCGTTTACCTCCAGCTCTGATAGCCCCCAAGTGGCTTTTGTGATTAGCCTATTGTCAGGGAAAGCAGCTCAGTGGGCAACCGCCCTGTGGGAGAAGCACTCCCTATTTGTGATTCCTTCCAGCGATTTTCTGAGGAACTAAGAAAGGTTTTTGATCATCCTGTGCAAGGCAAAGAGGCAGCTAAGCGTTTACTGAATCTTCGTCAGGGATCAGGTTCAGTAGCTGAGTTCTCCGTCGAGTTTAGAGTTTTAGGGCCAGAGTGGTTGGGATGAAGAGGCGTTACAGACTTTTCGTGCATGGGCTGTCCGAGGTTATGAAAGACGAGTTAGCGGCTAGGGATAGCGCTGCTAGCCTTGATGAGCTAATCTCACTAGCGATTAGGCTTGACAATCGTCTTCGTGAGAGACGGCGTGAGAAGTGGGGGCGCCCACAAGCCTCTCCTTTCCATGCCCTACCCAGACCCACCATCTCGGTAGGTCCCCAGTTAGCAGCCCCATCCAAACGCCCCTCGAGCCAGGTACCCCCCGAGCCCGTAGAAGAGCCGATGCAATTGGGCCGCACCCGCCTCACTCAGGCAGAACGCCAACGCCGGATTAGGTCCGGTTTATGCATTTATTGTGGCCAGCACGGTCACTTCTTGGCTGCCTGCCCCCAGCTGCCAAAAGATTAGGCTCACCAGAGAATGGTGGTACTCTTGTGAGCCAAGTTGCCACTTCCACCTCAGCCCCTCTTACTCGCATGCAATTAAATGCGTCCCTTCGCTGGCAGTTAAACTCCATTCCCCTCACAGCTCTGGTCGACTCGGGTGCCGAGGAGAGTTTTATTGACTCAGCATTCGTGCTTCAGGCAAGAATCCCCACTGTCAAACTCCCAGACAACCAACCCGTTAATGCCTTAGACGGAAAACATCTAGCCAACATTACTCGACAAACCGTTCCTCTCACTCTTATCCTTTCTGGTAATCACCGTGAGGAGATTAGTTTGCTGGTCATTTCTTCACCCAACGCTCCCGTAGTATTAGGTTTTCCCTGGCTTAAACTTCACAACCCCCAATTTGACTGGTCTACAGGTTCACTCTCTAGTTGGAGCGCCCACTGTCATTCACATTGTCTCCAGTCCGCCAGTGTTTTGTCATCTCCCACTGTTTCCAAACCTCCCAAGCCCCCTGATCTATCCGCTGTCCCTGTAGAATACCACGACCTAGGGGAGGTTTTCAGTAAACATCGTGCCGTCTCATTACCTCCTCATAGGCCATATGATTGCGCTATTGAGCTGCTTCCTGGTTCCACTCTGCCAACTAGTCGCCTGTATAACCTTTCCAGACCAGAACGCGAGGCCATGGAGAAATATATAGGTGACTCACTAGCGGCAGGGCTAATTCGACCCTCTTCGTCTCCGGTAGGGGCTGGTTTCTTCTTTGTGACCAAGAAAGACCAGACCCTCCGCCCTTGCATTGACTATCGAGGGCTTAACGACATCACCATTAAGAATAAGTACCCTCTCCCTCTCTTTGATCCGGCATTTGAACCCCTTCATAAGGCCCAAGTTTTCACAAAACTAGACCTCCGAAACGCATACCATCTTGTCAGGATCAGAGAGGGAGACGAGTGGAAAACTGCCTTTAACACCCCCTTAGGCCACTTTGAATATCTGGTGATGCCGTTTGGCTTGACCAACGCGCCAGCTGTGTTCCAGGCTTTAGTCAATGACGTGCTGAGGGACATGCTGAACAGGTTCCTATTCGTTTATTTAGATGACATACTCATCTTTTCCCAGTCTCAGGAGGAACACGTTCAGCATGTTCGGCAGGTCCTTCGAAGACTCCTTGAGAACAAGCTCTTTGTGAAAGCTGAGAAATGTGAGTTTCACGTGACATCCGTGTCTTTCCTGGGGTTCATTATTGAACGGGGGCAGGTTAAAGCAGACCCAGCCGAGATTCAGGCCGTGGCTGATTGGCCTAGTCCAACCACTCGCAAACAGCTGCAGCGCTTCCTGGGGTTCGCTAACTTTTACCGTCGCTTTATTAGAAATTATAGCAAGGTAGCTGCCCCCCTGACTAAACTCACCTCAGTGAAAGTACCGTTTGCCTGGTCCCCTGAAGCAGAAAACGCTTTTCTAGCCCTGAAAGAACTGTTTACTTCTGCCCCGGTGCTGCATCACCCAGACCCCTCTCTCCAGTTCGTGGTGGA